AGATTCACATAGAAAACAGCTGTTTTAAACTACTTTTGATCAAACAAATGCAGCCTTGGTGAGACTTTTCAACCATTCAATCCAAGATTGTGTCTCAGTTATTGAATTGAGACATAATATGGGACATAAAAAAGGTCAAGTTTACCTATAGTAATCAAAATTTATTCATGACTACATTTTAGTCCCAAAGTGACATGCAAAATAAAACTGTTCATATTAAGTGGTGTATTTCATTTCATTTAAGCAGGACTAATATTCATTTAGTTTTGTTTGAAGCACTGTTTTGTGCTGCTGTTAAACAGTTGAAATCTCAGCTGCGATGGAAAGACCATCAGAAAAAACTGAGCTAATTGCCAGCAGAGAATGTGTGTGTGTGTGAGTCTAAACGTCCAGCAGCACATCATAACACACCTGCTGCTCTGCCGAGAGATGAATATGTTAATGACTGAGCAGAAACAGCTGCAGATCTGCTCCAAACATCAGCCTCTCAGACCTCTGCATTCACCTTCAGTGGGATCCGCTCACAGCCGTCTGCAGGGAACAGCATTTCTCAAAAATGACAGAGGCTCATTTGATCTGCAGGAGTTTGAGATTATTAAAATCTCTTGCATTAAAGGTTTTAAGCTCATCATTTACTCACCCTCATGATGTTCCAAACCCATAAGACATTCAACTGTATTTGCTTGATGCATGAAATCCAATGAGGTTTGAAAGAGTCTCTTCTGCTCACCGAGGCTGCACTTATTTGATCAAAAATACAGGAATATTTTGAAATATTATTACAATGCAAAATAGCAGTTTTCTGTGTGAATCTCTGTTAAACTGTAATGTATTTCTGTGATGCGCAGCTGTATTTTCAGCATCATTCCTCCAGTCTTCAGTGTCACATGATCTTCAGAAATCAGTATAATATGCTGATCTGCTGCTCGAGAAACATTTCTGATTATTATCAATGTTAAAAACAGTTCTGCTGCACAATATTTTTGTGGAAACTGTGATGCATTTTATTTTTCAGGATTCACAGATGAACAGAAAGAACAGCATTTATTTGAAATGGAAATCTACTGTAACATTACGTCTTTACTGTCACTTTTGATTTAATTGTTTCCTTGCTGAAGTATTAATTTATTTTATGTTTTTCTGAAATCTTACTTATGGTTTCATTAACAATATCTTTATGTGTCAGAAGACGAATGAAAGTCTTTGAAAAAAAAAAGGGGTAAAAAAGCTGTCACTGGTGTGGGACCCTTACAAAACATTCACCTTTGTGCCTTATTTACTCCTGAAAGGTACATTTTAGTACTTAAATGCTACACATTAGTACCTTGTGAAAGGGTGATAAGCAAATGATCACAATTTTCATTTTTGCGTGAACTACCACTGTAATGCTGTTTACTGACACACATTAAAGAGAGACCAGCAGAGTTCAAATCACAACAGTCTAAAAGCAGAAGCAGGCATGAAAACAGCCCGACGTTCAGAGCACAATCTAATTTATAGGCTCTTCCACACACTGAAGCATCATGAACACAATGACAGGAAGCTCTCCAGAGGAACTGACTCGCCTGTTTACCGTGCTTTTACTTCTTTCTGTACTCTGTTAAGAGCTAGCCGTTACCGGGGCGCTGAGGGCCTTTGTGTTTGGGGCCCGTCTCTTGGGTTAGAGATTAATGGTAAGGGTTTTTGATCAAGTAAAGGTCAGAATAACGTCAGTAATATCTCCAGATGAACACTTACTGGACTGAAGCAGCTCAGCTTTACTTGATTCTCCATCAATCATGTTTTAGAGTCTCAAATCTGATCCTCAGGATCTTTTGAGGAGCGTTTGTTTCCAGAAGCTTTACTTTCACTGTTCCTCAGCGGAGGAATGATCTTCACAAGCCTCCAGAACATCTCACATCTTCTGAGGAGCCTTTATTTCTTCAGCTCTCAATCACTGCATTATATGTTTGGAGCATTTCAGCCTCATCTTACTGAGACATATTACTGGAGATATAGAGCCACGATTGAGATTTAGATCCGTTTATGTCAGCATCTGCTCTGCTGTTATAAACATCTCACTGATTTACATCACAAGCAGCAGAATTTCATCATATCAGCATCTGCAGCAAATTCATATTTTTGCTCAGTTTGAGACCGGAGTTGTTTTTTTCCTCCATATTCTCACTATATCAGATGCATCAAATATAATACAAAACATAAAACACACACGCAAACTTTTTATAAAAAATGTAGTCTAAAGGTTGAATGAACTGTTCCGTTTCATTGTTTTCTGACTGTGCTTCATATGTCAGGCATCACAGGGTTAATAGTGCCCAGACAGGAATCTCTTGAGATCTCTCTGCTATCTCTCCACAGCTCTCAACAGCTCAGAGAGGAAGAGGAAGCTTTGGAGAGCGTCACTCTGGACCCGACTTCAAGAAAGCTTCAGAAGACAGACACACAGAATATATGGAGAACTCACAACTTTATTAGCCTTTATAACTGAACACAAACAATCACAAACGTCTCATCCATCGGCGTCTCTGAGCAAGATAAGAGTGACGCGTGTCACCGGCCTCAGCAGGATTTGAGGCGCCGGTGTTTTCTCTCCCGAGCCGCTGGAGTTCAGCCGGAGTTCACAGCAGATGTTTGCCAGGAGTCTCATGCTGCAGGAAAGCTAAATTGCTTCCGGACTGACATCCACAGCAACAAACGTCCCCGTGACGGTTCAGACTCGGCTCAGGGTTACGATGTCCGAGGGGAAGCCGTCTCTCAGCAGGATCCCTCGGCCCCGCTGGCAGTCCAGCTCAGATACGAACCCGTACCAGTAGATGACCAGACCGGGACCAAACCTGCAGACGGGAGAGAAAGTGTCCAGAAGAAAACACTCAATTGCACACCACAACCACAACATTTTGGGGAGACGAGCACATTTAAAATCATGATAAAGTCACTTCTGTTGAGCTCATGGTGGCTGACACTGAAGAAATGATGGAGATTTTAGGACAGAAGAATTTTGCAAAAGAAAAAAAAAAAAAATTCCAATACAAATATCTAAACGTCCTTAAATCAGGACACATTTACTTGAAAATCTAAACAACTTAACAATAAATATAATTAAAATAAATATGTCTGTCAATAGGGTTTGAAAAATATGGCCTATTTACACCATGAGATAAAAAATTAAAAAGAAAGTAAACTTAAAAAGGTAAAACTTTTAATCTCACAATTCAGACTTACAATTATATATATATATATAAAAATAGTGAGATCTAAACTCAGAATTGCAAGAAAAAGTCCATTACTTTGAATGTCAAACAAAAAATAATCTTATTTTCTTTTTGAATACATTTTTTAAGCATAAACTCAATTATTTTTGATAGATTTGTTTAAGTTTTCAACTTAATATCTGAAGTAATCTTGCACCTCCAGTAACTGTATCTTGATTTAAAGGGGTCATGAACTGAGAAATCAAATTCCCTTGATATTTTGACATATAACAGGTCAATGTATTATAAAAACATCCAGTAAGTTTCAATACTCTAAACATTCTCGTTAGTTTAGAAACAGCTTTTATTGAAACCAAGCTCAGAAAATGACTCGTTTCGGGATGTGCCGCTTTATGATGTAATAGTGTGGCTAAGCCCCGCCTCCACAGGAAAATATCAACGCCTGCTTCAACAGCTCGGCATCTTTAGCCCCGCCCACCGATTCTACATCACTGTCTCTTTAGCCCCGCCCACCGACTCTACAGCACTGTCTCTTTAGCCCCGCCCACCGACTCTACAGCACTGTCTCTTTAGCCCCGCCCACCGACTCTACAGCACTGTCTCTTTAGCCCCGCCCACCGACTCTACAGCACTGTCTCTTTAGCCCCGCCCACCGACTCTACAGCACTGTCTCTTTAGCCCCGCCCACCGACTCTACAGCACTGTCTCTTTAGCCCCGCCCACCGACTCTACAGCACTGTCTCTTTAGCCCCGCCCACCGACTCTACAGCACTGTCTCTTTAGCCCCGCCCACCGACTCTACAGCACTGTCTCTTTAGCCCCGCCCACCGACTCTACAGCACTGTCTCTTTAGCCCCGCCCACCGACTCTACAGCACTACCTCTTTAGCCCCGCCCACCGATTCTACATCACTGTCTCTTTAGCCCTGCCCCCTGACACGTGCTTGTAGTAGGACGAGAGGAAACAATAGAGAGACGCAAACACAGAATTACTCCAACAGAACCATACAGATGACTTTACAAGATCACAAGACACTGTTGACACTGCAAGACGCAGCACAGACGTGTGAGGAAACCTGCTGTCACCACTACTGCATTGTGCTCCAGACCGTTTGATATGAACTGAGTTTATATCACCTTTTTAACCCAGATGACCCATGTTGTTTTCAGAGTACATCACAGCAGCGTCTGTCTGTTATTTTAATTAGTGAAACCGTCAGCCAATCACAGCAGTGGGCGTTTACTATATAAAATATAAAAACAGAGCGTTCTGCAGAGAGGCTTAAAAACAGCACAGAAAATAACTTATAAATTATGATGTTTTTATGCAAAATCACACTAGCACTATAAGAAAACCTCAGAGAACATCATAAAATAATAAAAAATGCAGTTCCTTTATGGATATTTAGATATTTGTACTGAAAAACAAGACAAAAACATTATTTTTGCAGTGCATTAAACCACTCAACAACAACTAGCTGTTCAGTTCCGCTCATGTAAACATGGTAGTGAATGAATCAGGAGTGAATCAGGTCATAAAATGTGCTTCTGTGCGAGTAAACCGCTGATTTAACCCTAAAGCTCATGAAATCTCACGAGGCCTGACTTCACTGATCCTCGCAAACTGTCCACTAACACAGGTGAAGAAAGACTGACATCAACAGCAACCGATCACAGTTAGTTCTACCAACCACAATAACTGGAAACGGAGTCAGGCCAGCCAGCGAGTGTGAGTGTGTGTTCTGGGCCGTTCGGTTCAGGCCCGTGCTCTCTTTATCACACACTGATTCACGGTCCTGAAGGAACGAGCCGAAACCAACAGCCCTAACAGACGCAGCACAGCTTCATCGCTGGAGAAACGTGGACGGGTCCAGTGAAACCGTCAGCCAATCACAGCAGTGGGCGTTTACTATATAAAATATAAAAACAGAGCGTTCTGCAGAGAGGCTTAAAAACAGCACAGAAAATAACTTATAAATTATGATTTTTTTATGCAAAATCACACTAGCACTATAAGAAAACCTCAGAGAACATCATAAAATAATAAAAAATGCAGTTCCTTTATGGATATTTAGATATTTGTACTGAAAAACAAGACAAAAACATTATTTTTGCAGTGCATTAAACCACTCAACAACAACTAGCCGTTCAGTTCCGCTCATGTAAACATGGTAGTGAATGAATCAGGAGTGAATCAGGTCATAAAATGTGCTTCTGTGCGAGTAAACCGCTGATTTAACCCTAAAGCTCATGAAATCTCACGAGGCCTGACTTCACTGATCCTCGCAAACTGTCCACTAACACAGGTGAAGAAAGACTGACATCAACAGCAACCGATCACAGTTAGTTCTACCAACCACAATAACTGGAAACGGAGTCAGGCCAGCCAGCGAGTGTGAGTGTGTGTTCTGGGCCGTTCGGTTCAGGCCCGTGCTCTCTTTATCACACACTGATTCACGGTCCTGAAGGAACGAGCCGAAACCAACAGCCCTAACAGACGCAGCACAGCTTCATCGCTGGAGAAACGTGGACGGGTCCCATCCTTTCTATGGAAATATTGTGGACGTGCAATGTAAACATTTGCATGCTATAAGACGAGAGGTGCAGCGAATGCGGTGACGTATGGAGGTCTGGACAGAGAGAGAAGCCAAGAAACCTTGAGTTATTACAGTGTTGTTTTTAACTAATTGACCCTCATGTTCTGTTGAGGCTCTGAGATCTCAAGGCCCTTTTAAGAGCTTGAAAAACCTACTTAACACTGACGTATCTGGCTGATATTTCATACACTGTAACCCTATGAGACGTCATCAAAAGTTCAACTGCTCTTTGAGGTGTCAGCGAGTGACTATTGCGCACATTACAGACATTCACTCCTGACAGCTGCCGACTCTGATTTGTCTTCATGTATTTTTCCACACTGACCCCAAACAGAAACAGCGCTAGTGTTCTGGATAACAGTCACGCCTGTGAGAGGGATGTCTGCTTCATGATTGAACAGACTAAACAAACTAAACCAAGATCACACAATAGCAAAAAGAAAATATATTCAAATATTGCTGAAAATCTTGAACACTGTCTGCGCGTCAAACTGAGTGAAACAACAAATGTTCATTTGTTAATGTGATGAATTACATCCATGAAAAATCACCTCAAGACCAGATTTGCCATTGTATGTCATTTAACACAATATACTACATTTTATATCTAATTTAAGCATTACATATTATTACAAAAGTACACATTTTTTTTATACATCATGACCTAGGATTTTGTCAATAGTTTCACAAACAAAACTCTAGTTTTTCTGCAGTTTTTAGCTTCACTCTACCTCATGCATTTTCTTATATTATTCTCTTTATTACAGGTAGTGTTAATTTTGTCAGCTATTTTTTATTCTTAGTCTTAATCCTGTGTCAAATGTAACTTGTAGTTTTTATCATATTTAGTCAACTTGTCCTGTTTTAGTTTTAGTCGACTTTTAGTCAGTGGAAACTTACACATTTTCGTCTTACTGTATAATGGTTAAAATGATGAAAAAAAAATATTATTTTGCTCAATTTTAATTGCAATGATTGTTGTAATTTGGGAAATTTATTTGTACATTTCATCAGAAGTTGCTCTTTCGCCAATAAGCAGAAATCAATAGAATATCGACTCATATGCATGGTTTATTTGACCTCATCTAGTGTACAGATTTATAACTGGATATCAGTTAGAGGCTAAATAAACACCAAAGACTTCAGATATACACTCGCACTGTCTACGTTATGAAAACTGCTGTAACAAAAATAACAGCGATATTGCATGTTCATTTAATCTGTTATCGTTTCATGACCTTATTATCGTCTCGTTTTCATCAGGGGAAAACAACCTCATTGACGAAAATTTTTCGTCATAGTTTTCGTTAACGAAATTAACACTAATTACAATTTTCTAAATTCCTGTATCAAGAATGGCCAGTTTCGTTCATGTTTTTCCAAAGTTCCAAAATGAATGGTTTTCTATATGCTTTGTTTATAGATAACACTCTATACTGTTTTATTTACATTTTTTTTTATATATTAATTTTAATTGTATTTCAGTGTTTCCGACACTGTTCCTGGAGGAACATCATCATCCAAAACCGTGTTGCCGTGCCTCCAGGAACGCTGATCTGGTCGTCACATAAATGCCAGTGGTAATAGTCCGTGTTTGAACTGGCCCTGTTTTATTTTAATAGTATCTGAAGGAAGCAAATGTCCTCTTGCCATACAGTAGCTCTGATTTGCCCGCATTGAATGGAAATCGCCTCACTATATTGATTTATCATAACGTCAGATGGGTTGGGACAGGATGACATAGACGAGTCGTGCTCTTCTACTGACTGCTGGGTTTGGATGAGCAAACAAGGAAGGGAAAACAAGAAGTTGACTTGATCAGCACATTTGATATCATGAGGTCGAGGGTACAAAACAACCCCAAGAGAAGCGGCACAGTGGCGAAGGGTCTCGGGTTAAATAGATGCGCTTGTAACCCCCGAGGGAGGTGTCCGAACAGCTTCCGCTCCGGAGGCAAAAACACAAAGGCCGCTGTACTTCAATGCAAAGGTTCCATAAATAAAGGCATAAACGGACACGGGGCTCC